TGTTAATGCTAGTTATTATATTTGGTATTTTCAGTCTGTCATCTCTTGCCTACTCCAACTCATCAGTCTATAGGTCCTATAAAACACTTGCCAGTTCTTTAAGTATTGTAGAATTCTGTTAATGATCGAAGCTGCATAGACGATTTTTGTTTCCCACTATATCCATATAATCATATGTATTTTCCTTTGTCTCTGATGGTGAACATTTGGGCAAGTAGCTTCACCTCCCTGTGTCTTTCTTCCCTCTTCTATAAAAGAAACAATAATATTGCCTCAATAGTTTCTGCTCTAAAATTCTAGGTGTTGATTTTATCCTGCAACATTACTGAAATTGTTAATCGGCTCTAAGAGCTTTTTGGTAAAGTCTTTAGGTTTTTCTGTATTTTATATCCTGGCATCTGCAAACAGTGACAGTTTGACTTCATCCTTTCCAGTCTGGATGCCTTTTATTTCTTTCTCTTGTCTGATTTCTCTGGATAGTACTTTCAGTACAATGTCAAATAGGAGTGGTGAGAGAGGGCATCCTTGTCCTGTTCCCATTCTTAAGGGAGAAGCTTCAAGCTTTTCGCCATTCAGGATGACATTGGCAGTGGGCTTGTCATAAATGGATTTCATTGTGTTGAGATAATTTCCTTCTATACCTAATTTGCTGAGAGTCTTTGTCATGAAGGGAGTTGAATTTTGTCAAATGCTTTTTCTGCATCTATTGAGATAACCATATGATTTTTTCTTTGATTTTGTTGATGTGGTGTATCACATTTATTGACTTGCATATGTTGTGTCCCTGGGGTGAATCCCACTTGATCATGTTGTATAATTTTTTTGATGTGTGGCTGTAATCTGATTGCTTGTATTTTGCTGAGGGATTTTCGCATCTATGTTTATCAAGGATATTGGCTTGTAATTTTCTTTTTTTGTTTTGTCTTTGTTTGGTTTTGGTATCAGGGTGATGTTGGCCTCATAGAATGAGTTTTGGAGAATGGCTTCCATTCCAATTTTCTGTAATAGTTTGAGGAGAATTGGTATTAATTCTTTTCTAGAGATTTGATAGAATTCAGAAATAAATCCAACTTGTCCTGGGCTTTTCTTTGTTGGAGGATTGATGATTATTGCTTCAATCTTGTTGCTTGTTATTGGTCTGTTCAGGTTTTCTGTTTCTTCTTGGTTTAGTCTTGGTAGTTTGCATGATTCCAGAAATTTATCCTTTTTATCTAGGTTTTCATGTTTTTGGCATACAGTTGTTTATAATAATCTCTAATGATTCTTCATATTTCTGTGGTATCAGTTGTAATGTCTCCCTTTTTATTTCTGATTTTTTTATTTGGGTTTTCTTTCTTCTGGTTCTTGTTAAACTAGCTAATCTAATGGTTTGTCTATTTTACTTTTCTTCTGAAAAAAAACCCTTTTTGTTTCATCGATCTTTTGTATCATTTTCTGGGTCTCTGTTTCATTTAGTTATGCTCTGATCTTAAATATTTATTTCCGTCTACTTCTTTTAGGACTGGATTGTTGTTGTCTTGCTAGTTCTTTCAGATATAACATTTGGTCATTTTTTTGAAGCTTTTCTGTTCAACACCCAAAAATCAGTAGCATTTTTATGGTCCAAAAACAAACTAGCAGAAAAAGAAATCAAGAAAGCAAGCTTATTTACAAAAGTCACCCAAAAATAAAATACCTAAGAATCAGTTTAACCAAAGAGGTAAAAGATCTCTATAATGAGAACTACAAAACAGTATTGAAATAAGTGAAAGAGGACACAAAAAGGTGGAAAGACATGCCATGCTCTTGGATTAGAAGAATTAACATCATGAAAATGTCCATTCTACCCAAAGCAGTCTACAAATTCAATGCAATCCTCATCAAAATACCAATTACATTGCTCACAGAAATAGGAAAAGCAATCCTAATATTAATATGGAATAACAAAAGGCCCTGAGTAGCCAAAGCAATCCTGAACAAAAAAAAATACATAAATATATAAAGCTAGAGCCATAAAACTTCCTGACTTCAAGTTATTTTACAGAACTATTGTAAGCAAAACAGCATGGTACAGCCATAAAAACAGATACTCAACTCAATAGAACAGACTAGAAAACCCGGGAATCAACCCACATACTTATAACAACTGATCTTTGACAAAAGCAACAAGAACATGCATTGGGTAAAAGATTGCCTCTTCAATAAATGGTGCTGGTAAATTGGACATCCATATGCAGAAGAATGAAACTAGACCTGTATCTCTCATCATATACCAAAATGAACTTAAAAGGATTAAAGGCTTACATACAGGACCTGAAACCATAAATTACTAAAAGAAAACATAGGGAAAACATTCCAGGATGTAAGACTTGGCAAATATTTTATGAATAAGACCCCAAAAATACAAGCGACAAAGAAAAAATAAGCAAATGGGAATACATCAAACTAAAAAGCTTGTGTACATCAAAGGAAAGAATCAACAGAGTAGAAAGACAACCTACAGAGTAGGAGAAAATATTTTTCAAACTCTATATCTGACAAGGTATTAATATCCAGAATATCTAAGGAACTCAAATAACTATACAGTAAAACCAAATAATTAAATTATAAAATGGGCAAAGGAGATGAATAGACATTTTTTAAAAGAGGACATACAAATGGCCAACAGGTACCTGAAAAAATGCTCGCATCAATAATCATCAGAGAAAATGCAAATCAAATCCACATTGAGATATCATCTCAACCCAATTAAACTGGCTATTATTAAGAAGACTGAGAATAAAAAATGCTAGTGAGGATGCAGGGAAAGGCAAACTCTTCTACATTGTTCATGGGACTGTAAATTAGCACACCCATTATGGAAAACAGTATGGAGTTTTCTCAAACAGCTATAGATAGAACTACCATATGATCCAGCAATTCCACTATTGGGTATATATCCAAAGGAATGGAAATCATCATGTTGAAGGATATCTGCACTCCCATGTTCATTGCAGCTCTATTCACAGTAGCCAAAATATGAAACCAACATAAATGTCCATCAATAGATGGCTGGATAAGGAATATGCGGTATATATACACAATAGAGTACTACTCAGCCATAAAAAAGAATGAAATTCTGCCATTTGCAGCAACATGGATGAGCCTGGAGAAAAATATATTAAGTGAAATTAGCCAGACACAGAAAGAGAAAAACCACATGTTCTCACTTATAACTAGGTGCTAAGAAAAAAGGAAAGAATCCTTCCATGAATTTTTTTTTTTTTTTTTGGTGGCTGGCTGGTGCAGGAGATCTGAATCTTTGACCTTGGTGTTACTAACCAACTAAGCTAACTGGCCAGCCCCACACCCCCAGACTTATAGCCATCTGATATTGAACAAAGGCAACAAAACTCTACATGGGGGAAAAGACTGCCTCTTCAACAAGTGGTTTTGGGAAAACTGGATATCCACATGCAGAAGAATGAAAATAGATATGCATCTCTCACCGTACACTAAAATCAACTCAAAATGGATTAAAGACGTAAGTATATGACCCGAAACTGTAAAATCACCAAGGGAAACGAATATAGGTGAAACACTCTAGTAATGAGGTCTGGGCACAGACTTTATGAACAGGAGCCCAAAAGCACAAGCAGCAAAAGAAAAAATTTTTTAAAAAAATGGGACTGTATCAAACTAAAAAGCTTCTGCATAGCAAAGGAAGCAATCAAGAGTGAAACGACAACCTACAGAGTGGGAGAAAATTTTTGCTAACTATGCATTTGACAAGGGATTAATATCCATAATATACAAGGAACTCAAACAATTATATAGTAAAAAACAAATAGCCCAATTAAAAAACGGGCAAATGAGGTGAATAGACATTTTTCAAAGGAAGACATATAAATGACCAACAGGTACATGAAAAAATGCTCAACATCACCAGTCATCAGGGAAATGCAAATTAAAACTACATTAAGATACCACCTCACCCAGTTAGACTAGCTATAATCAAAAAGATGGTGAATATCAAATGTTGATGAGGGTGTGGGGAGAAGGGAACAACACTTCTGCACTGTTGGTGGGACTGTAAATTAGTACAACCACTATGGAAAACAGTATGGAGGTTTCTCAAACAACTACAGATAGATCTTCCATATGATCCAGCACTCCCACTTCTGGGTATATACCCAGAGGAATGGAAATCATCATGTCGAAGGGATACCTGCACTCCCATGCCCATCACAGCTCTGTTTACAATAGCCAAGACATGGAGCCAACCTAAACAACCATCGATGTATGATTGGATAAGGAAACTGTGGTATATATACACAATGGAATACTACTCTGCCATAAAAAAGAATAAAATTCTCCCATTTGCAACAACATGGATGAGTCTGGAGAAACTTATGTTGAGTGAAATAAGCAAAGCACAGATAGATAAATACTGCATGTATTCACTCATATGTTGGAGCTAAGAAAGAAAGAAGGAAGGAAAGAAAGACCACAGTAGTGCATTGTACTTGCAGTGGAAGAGAACATTCTATGGGCTACAAAATCGAGTGGAGGGGGAGGGGAAAGGGGAGGGAGGTCGAGGATAATTGGGTGGGGGACACAGGGTACAAATGCAATTTGTGGTAATGGGTATGCAGCCAGTATGAATCTGGCCCCAAATCATGGGGACATGGGGTGACAATCAGCTTTGTATCTCATGAATATTCATAACCAATAAAAAAAAAAGGAAAAAGGAAAGAAAAAAAGACAGACAGACAAAGACCACAATAATACATTGAACTTTCAGAAGAGAACAAAGCTAAGTATACTAGAGATGGGGGGAAGAGAGGTAGGGGGGTTGAGGAGTGATAGGTCAGGTTGTAGGCATGGGGAAATATTATAGTTTGTAATGATGAGTATGCTAATAATAATAATTTTTAAAAACTGTCATCAAATCATAAAATAAACAAAAAATTCTATAGTTCTATGTTAAACTACTCATTTTCTCCAGGAGACATTAACACATTGTCTCTTCACATTGATAGATGTCCAGAATCTACTCGACCTGAAACTGTGCGTCCCTGTTTCCTCCCATGCAAAAAAGACTGTATTGTGACTTCTTTCAGTGAGTGGACGCCCTGCCCGAAGTTGTGCCAAGCAAGTGAGTGGATACTTTTTTAGTGATTTCTTTTCCAATCATCTGATAGTTTTTCCATGGCTAAATAAGTGAGAGATTGTGGGATGTAAGTACCCTTCTTTTCCATTTGCATTCTGTATTAGTCTGTTTTGTGTTGCTATAACAGAATACATGAAACTGGGTGGTTTATAAAGAAAAATGACATTTATTGTTTACAGTTTCTGAAGCTGGGAACTCTAAAGTCCATCTGGTTTTTGTGACGGTAACCCAGGTGTCTCACATTGTAAGATGGTGGAAGCAGAGAGAGCAGAGAGAGCAAGAGAAACATATTATCTTCTTTTAAAGCCCTCAGAACCATGCCCTGACCAACATTTTTAATCTATTTTACTACTGCATGGTCCTACAATCTAATCCCCTCTTCAATGCTCCACCTTTCAATTACCATAATAGGATTTCCCACCCTTTTAACAGTGGGAGCTAAATTTCTAATACATAGAATTTGGGGGACACAATTCAAGCTCCAGTGAGTTTTGGGGGGACATAATTCAATCCACTACACATGCCATCCTGGGAACAAGGTTGGTAAGAGTTTGTGAATGAAGTCTTGTATTTCCAGATCCATCAGAACTTGGAAGGGAAAATATATTCAGTTATTATACATCATAATTGTGAAAGTATTCATCTTCTACTAACCCTGTCATGGCATTTTGAAATGCCATTCAAGTCTGATTCTTTATAAGGCAACATCGCCATCACAATTTCTATGCAGCCCCTTTGGGCTTGGAGCCCAATTCCAGGCACCTTCATTAGAATATAGGGCTTAAGTACTATGTTCACATCGCCAATAAATAGAAGCACATGGGAGAACAAGAGTAGATACAATAAAAACGTTGAACAAGAAATTGGCAATATATAATTTATATATTTTTATTCTTAATGGTGATGCTTTATACACCTGGGTGTATTTGAAGGGCTATGATTCAGGATACTTAATATCTAAGGCCTAGATGAACACACAGGAGTGGTATTGTAAAGTGGCCCTCTTTCTTAGAACAGGCCTAGTCTCCAAAGCAGTTTCCTGATGAGCTAGTCCACATGGCGATACAAGTACTTCTCCCAAAGCTCCATTTTGGCCTAAGAGCTAGAGTTAAAAACTCGATGCCTTTCCCCTAGTCTCATACCCTAGCCTTGGTCCTTTGGGTCTTACCATTGCTACAACAAGAAGAGGCAAATCCAAGAAAAGGAAGGACAGAAGGAGTATTAACCATAATTTCCAGAGTAAAGTAGGTCTTACCCACTCATCCCTGGCCTTCTCTTGGCTGGTGTGTCCTTTGAAGCAGAGCATGGCTCTTACTCTCTTGCTGCACCAGACTCCTGGATGAAGGGAAAAGAATGTATGTAGTTCCACAGAAAGAGAACCTGCAAGAGATTGAGAACATTAGCACCTTTCCTTAGAATGTCCCAGCCCTGTGCATCTGGGATCTCCCAAGTAGCTTTACAGTACTCTCCAAAATACTCTGGGATCTGTAGCATCACTTTATGAGAGAAAACTATGGCCAGCGATGGCATAGATCTGGCAGTCATTCTAGTCACCTCTCAGTGATCGGCAAAGGGTGGTAACAGCTGTTGAAGATGATCATCACCAATGTCTTGTGATGCAATGGTGGGGCAGCTGCATGAAGTTTTATAACTGTGCCATTTTATTTTTTTAATGATTCTCCACAGTAGTGATCCTCTATAGTAGCCTCCAATGAGCTTTGCTTATAGATAGAATCAGAAATAAATATATTGAATAGAAAGCTTTAAAAATACATTGTATTATTTATCTGATCTTTTGAAGGGTAGAAACAATAATCTCTTCTAGAAACTTTCTAAAACTTTTTTTCTTTCCTGAGTGAAGATTCAAAGTATGAATCTTCTCAATGATGTATGAACAGGTTTCTGTTGTTTATAACAGAATACCTGAAACTGGGTGATTTGCAAGAAAACAAATTTATTGCTTACAGTTTTGGAGGCTGGGAAGTCCAAAGTCCAAGGAGCACATCTGGTGATGGTCCTGGTGGTGGCAACAGTGACACAGGGGTCTCACATGGCAGAAAATGGCAGAACAGAAAAAGAAAAACACTCATGTGCTCTCCTTTTAAAGCCCTCAGAACCACACCCCTGACCCCCACTATTAATCCATTCACTATGGTATGGTCCTACAACCTAATCATCTCTTTAAGGTCCCACCTTTCAATTACCATAATAGGATTTCCCACCCTCAGCAGTCACAGGGGGAGCCAAATTTCTAACATGTAAAACTTGGGGGACACAAGTCAAGCTTCAGTGTGTTTGGTGGGAGACATTCAATCCACAGCACCAGCATTTGCTGAATAGCCAGGGGAATGTCATTTCCAAACAGAATAGGACAGAAAAGCTACTGTTTGTATTCTGAACCATTTGAAAGGCAGCATCTAGGAGGCCTACTTTTGGAATTTGAGTGTAATGTACCTGAAAAAGTTTCAGGATCTTACAGGTAAATATTGAACAAATGCAAGGGGATAATATAATCCATGATGATGGAGTTTTCTTGTGGTTCAGCTATTTCTTTTAGTTTCTTATTCATGAGCATTTAGCATAATTTCTCTGTTAAACGGTTATAAGAAAAGACTGAATTAAGAAGAATAACCTGCTGGCAGCCAGAAATTGGTGTTGGAGCTTTTGAAATCCCCTGACACTTAGGGAGGCAGATTAGTTTTGTTGAGACAGTATGCCCTGGTGACCAGAGACTGCTTCAACCACTGCTATTTCATGGCTTCTATATTCAAAAGAATTCTTTCTGCTGTCGGCGCGTCTTCTTCTAGCATTGACTAAAGGTGGAGGAATCACAGAACATGTAAAATAATTGCTCTTCAAGCAACTTTAAATTTTACTCCAATTTCCAGAGATTCAATTAGTTGCTTAAGTGGTTGGCATTGTAATGAAAACAGTTCTAAACTTCTGTGGTCTCTTTTTGCCTCCAACTTTTTAAGGCTAGATAATTCTTTTCACAGCTTGGAAGCCGGGGCACCTGGAGGAGCAAAGATTCAATTTTCAGATTTCTTCCAGCTTTCCACTTTAATCCTATTTACCCTCATGTTTAGTTTATACCCTGGAACCAAGATATTATTAAATAATCACAGGTTAATTAGGAGGCTCTATGGGAGGGGGAGAATTTGGAGGAAATGGTACCTCTAAGCCCATGGTTCTCAAAGTTCATAGCATCTGAATACCTGGAAGCGTCGTTAATATGCAGATTTCTGCCTCCATGACAAGAAATTCTGATTCAATAACTATGGGATGAGTCCAAGAAATCTGTAGTTGTAAAAACTACTACTCTGAGTGGTGATCCCCTCTCCGGCATTCTGATGATAAAAAGCCATAGATCTATGACAAACCCTGCTTTAGCTCTGGCCACATGGCCCTTTTTTCAGTTCCTTAAATGTGTCATGTTCTTCCCAATTCATGAGGCTGTAGGTTGGGGCATAAGAGCATAGACGCTGGAGCCAGATGGCTGGGGTTAGGTTTTCGGGTTTGCTCTGTGACAGATGTATTACTTAGTCTTTCTCTGCCTCAGTTTCCTCATTTGTGAAATGGGGTTAATAATCACACCTGCCTATAAGGAAAGCACTTAGATCACCTTCTGGCAAAGAATAGGCACTTGGCAAGTGTTTGTGTAGCTGTTCAGGGCCTTTGCACCTGCTGTGTGTGATGCTGGCACTCTCTTCAACTGCCTCTCCTACCTGGGTGCTCAGCCTGTGCACCCACGTCAACCCGCTTTAACAGCCTTTCCTCAGTAATGCTGCTCTCCTCTCCCAGACTACCTTACCAACTAACTAAGCAGATTATCCTACAGCATCCTACTCACCCCTTCATGAACTCACCATTCATATCTTCCCTTGTGGATGTTGCCTCTGCCCAATTAAGTCCATGAATGCAGGAACCACTTCTGCTGTCTTCAACTCTGGATCCTCTAAGCCCAGCATAGTATGGGACGTATAGTTGTCACTTGATAAATATGTTGAATGTACAGCTGTTCTGTAAAAGGATGGAAAGGTATGGATTTGAATCTGGGAAGCGGATTTTCTGTACTTGAGAGTCTTTCAACACATCCTTTGGGAAATGGTGTTCTAGAGCAGTACTTCTCAGACTTGAATGTGCATACAAGTCCCCTAGGGATTGGGGATCTTATTAAATGCAGATTCTAGTTCAGTAGACTTTAGTATAGGTATCATCTGGGATCTTATAGAAAGGTACATTTCCAAACCTCATAGGGTCTACTGAATTCGAATCTGCATTTAATAAGATCCCCGATCCCCAGGGAACTTGTATGCACATTCAAGTTTGAGGTGTACTGTTCTAGAACACCATTTCCCAAAGTATCTGTTGAAGGAAATTTTATTAGAAATTTCTGAGCAAGGCAATGTCTTGGTCAAAGTTCTAAAATGAGAAGAATGGATCAGGGACAGACTAGCAGATGGGGACACAGGTGGAGTGGGAGAGGGGTGGAGAAAGCGATTTAACCTGAACTGAGAAGATAGGAGAAATGTTCCAGGACTAGGATGGGCCTGAGCAAGTGGAAGCCTCTACCAAGCAGGGCAGAGGAATTCTTTTTTTTTTTTTCTTTTTTTTGCATCTGTGGCTTCAGATTGGGTCATCAAAGTTGAAAAGAGATTATTATCATGGTCCTCAAATTTGGCTGCACAGTGGAATCACCTGGAGATCTGTAAAAAATACTGATGCCTGCCTCCTACTCACAGACATCCTGATTTAATATGTTTGTGATCTGACCAGGAAATCACTGGATTATATAAATCTCAAACCAAATCCATTCTAAACCTCTCAAAAATCCCAGGTGCTTCCAGGGAACCTAGTGCACAAGCGGTGATTTGTGCGTTCACAGTGGATGAGTAGTGGCAGGTTATGTTTTGTCCTGGCTGGGCTCATGAGCCAAATTCTTAAGACTTAAAGGTATTTTCAATGCCTGAAAAATGTCTAGCTAG